GTGCATTAAAGTATTGTATTGTACAACTCCATAAAACATAAATTGTTGTGTATGGATAAAAATTGTTGTGTACGAATCACTCCCCTATACAAAAGTGTCCAACTCTTCATTCTTCTTCATGCACCCTTCCATGAAAAAGTTATCTCCAATCCTCGAGGAGATGGCATTTGGAATTTCTCTACCATCATTCTTCTAAATAGTTGCTAGGTTCTTTTGCAATGCTCTCCTTGTCTCTTTTATGTATTGTCTCGTCGAGTTCTAAAGTCTCATAATTGTCTTGATGGTCTGTTGTAACATCATCACCTTAAAATTCTCTTATTGATGAGCGAGTACAACTTCCATCTCGCCCATGAAAGCTTTTAACATGTTTGGTGTTGTGTGTGCATCCTTTCCTCCGGACTTGATCATAGTGTTATCAAAATTTTGATATATTATCTTCATTTCTTCCATAAGTATCAATTCTTGTTCATCTAACATTTCTCGAAATCTTCCAAGTAGTTTTTTTATCTCGCTGTTTCATTTCTCCCTCCGACATGAGTTTGAACTCCTCCAACATAGCTGACATTGCTTGTTCCCGGTTACCATCCTTGTTTGTCTTCTTTTCGACAACTTGGCAAGGATTTTTAGTTGTTATCATCCTTAGAAATCCAATTTGTTAGTTCCAAAATATTTATTATTTGCCTATAAAATGTATAAACATACGTTGTATAAAGTCTATCTAGGCATACATGAAGAATGTTAATTAGGTCCGTGCATTTTTTTTCTAAGATGTCTTATCTCGACTTCCTTGTCCTTGTTATCAAATTGTTAGGCTCTTGCAAAAGCTGCCACCTCATGTACCACCAACCATAACTAAGCATAACTAGAGTAGTTTCTTTCTTGACACCGGTTTCCATAATATTTCTATTATTTAAAGGACATGGTTACTATATATTCATCTTCCAAGAAATTCACAAGATATATCTAAGAAAATAATTAAACATTTAAAGACCAACACACGTAAATCTCTCACTTTACTCAAAAGTCAAATATGATACTTATTTTTCATCCCTAGAGTAATATGCGTTTAAGTCTAAGTACTAATTCAAGTACTTAGTTCACTTAAACCATTGCTCTGATACCAAAGTACAACTCCTGCAGACTAAACGTTAGCCAATTAAGGGAACCACCACCCTATGTCACACAAGGGGTAGCTAGCATGTATGTGCACATGAGAATTATCTAGAAATCTACTCACAAACAACGAATGGTCAATATTTAAGGTACCCGGGATCTCACATTCACAATTCATCCTAACATGATATGCATAAGTAGGATGCTCAAATCATTTTTCAAGAATCATATAATTTTTTTCTTTTATAATCAAACTAACTTTTGAAAATGACGTTTCATGAATGCACACATACATATAGTATACAAAGTACCAAACAAAAACATTTAAGTAAAAATGGGCATTCTACTTACGTTATGCGTCACTTTATACTAATTAATGCGTCTGTTTTGTACAACAAGTTATTAACTCAGTTTTGCACTCCCATTTAGCCATTCTAAATTCACTTAAACAAGTAGATTTAAAAATTACTTATTTGTACAACCAATATGGGCCTCCAAACACCATTAATATCCATTAAGCCACACATAAATACATTAACTTGATCCATAAAGTTCTTCATAATAAATCATGATATTTATTGATCATTAAACTTCCTATAATGGACTTAAGTGCTTAATTGACCAATAACATACTTAAGTTACTTGCAATCAATCCAACCATTTCAAACTATCAATTCATCATAGATGATGTAATTCAATACTTTCTCAATCTATTTAATTTGTTTAACTAAATTCTATAATGAGATCACAATTCAATTTCTTAAATTCTTAAATTTGCCCTTGTGGTTAAATATGTATTATAAACAAGGTGGAATTTCATCAATCAACTAATAAATCCCCAAATCTAAATCATACAAACTTGATTCTCCCATTTCTTGAGTTTGTGCATACTTGAATGTTTTGTTGCAACAATGCTACATTTTAATGGTCATAGAATCCAATTCATAATGGTTTTACAACTTCATCATCGTACCTTGAGGTTATATGGTTCATAACTAGGTTTCCACCTAAACACCAAATTTATCAAGTGGATGATAGATTGGAGCTTAGAAACAAATCAAATGTCTAAAAGGGTTATAAAATAAAACCCTGCCATTAAAAAATGCTAAAATTGAATTTGAATGCATATCTAGAACCCTACTCGGTTTTTGGAGTCTACAATGAGGGAATTATACCTCAAATAATCTCAATCCTTGTTGGTGATTTCAATATCTCACTTGGACTTCAATCCTAAACATAGAATTCCCTTTTGACACAATTCGTCATCCTTCATCTTGCCTTCATCAAATGATGAGATATAGCTTTTTAGAATATAACTTGATAATGAAATGTTTGACTCGTTACTAAATCAACATTTATTGCTTCAAATCAACCGTAAGGCAAAACGAATTTCTATGGAAGATATCCTTTTAGATCTTAATCGGATATACTAATAAAATAAGAATAGAAGTTACATCTTATAAAAAAATTTCAATTTCTACAGCCTTCCCTTTAATTTGACAAAAATGGTCCTAATCCGTCGACTAGTGGGCCTTAACTTAGGGAGTTAACACTTTTTAGCCCATTTTCATCCATTTTATCCCCTAATCTAATAAATAAGTACATTTTTCCCACGTGGCAATTACTAAGCCCCTCCCCAACTAATTTTCCCGCTCAAATCATCTATGTGAAATTCCTGTTCTACCCTCTTGCAGTCCATCTTGTATATTCATCAATCCGTAAAATCAGCAAATCATACCGCTCATCAAGGGTAATCCCATTAAATCAGGAAGTGACTACTTCATATCTGTTGATGTAAACCCTAATCGTCACAAACTTTCTTTGATTTAGGCTTTACAATATTGAATCGACAACTCCACCACCTCCACACTAGTGTTCGATTGAAAAGCAGAGATAGAGAGAGCGATTGAAATATTTGGACTCATCACCATGTTCAGGTCTGATAGCTTCTCTTCCATGTTTCAATTCAACCTTAAGAAACCGAAGCTCACCAATCACTTCAGAGCTTGCTCCGCCAATAGGTTCGATTTCTGATTTTTATTCGTCTTTTTGATTCCGAATTTGCTGTGGAGTAACTATTCTTCTTCTGTATGTCTGTTACTGTTTGATCGTAGTGATCCAAAACTTCGTCATATTTATAGCCATATATCATCCTAAGCCCCACAATTTGTTCAGAATTCTGCTCTGCGAATTAGTTGATAATAATATAGTTATAGGGTTTCGAATTTGTTGATTCACTAATGATTATCTATGTATGGTAGAACTCCTTAGGGTTTTTGTGTTAGGATTGCACATATCGGCTCAATACCTCTCTAAAATTGATAGCAATTCCGTGGGATAATCAAATGGATAATATTTCAAATTAAAATATGATCTTGCATGCATTAACCATTAAACTTTATGCAAAATCTACTTGGCAGGAAGTAGGGACCGATGTTGTAGCTTGTGTAAAATATACTTCGAATCTAGAAGATCTTCAATTCACAGATATTGTAATCGAACCAGTTATGGGAGCAGGAGGTGTGATACCTCCACCTGAAGGTTATTTTGAGAAGGTTGGGTTTTTATAAATTTACAGATTTGCCCCTGTGTTATAGTTAATGTAAGCAATGACTCTCACCAGTGTTATATCTTTTTAACCATTATGAAGGTCCAGGCTGTTGTTAAAAAATATAATATTTTATTCATAGCTGATGAGGTAAAGTGGTAGTTTTTATTTTTAAATTTATATTTTTATTTTGTTGAGCAGTAATAAGTAATAACATTTTGCAATTGTAATTTACAGGTAATCTGTGCATTTGAAAGGATTGGAACTATGTTGGATGTGATAAGTACAAGATTAAGCCTGATCTTGTCTCCATAGCAAAGGTATAATCACTAAACATTAT